TGCCATAATATTTTTGAGTAACCAGTGGTCACATTAAGTAGAATTAATAGGGGTAATTATATCAGTTCCAAAAGAATATATAGAGAGGATTTTGGATTAAATGGAATTAGAGTAGGGCCCTTTGTATGCTGGCCACCTGTCCCTCCATGGCTGTGGGCAGAAGCTGATGTGGATCTGTCAATTCAAGAAAGCAGATGGAGTAATTATATTAATATTTTCACTGATGGTTCAAGTGATCCAGAAAGCAATTGAGTGGGGTTTGGTTCATGCATCCCCCATGTTCAAATCTGTCAGAGTAGAAGACTACCAGATAGGACTTCAATATTCACTGCAGAATGAATTGCTTTTTTGTGGGGGCTGTAGTGGGTGGAAGATGGAGGATGGGATAAAGTTGAACTGTGCACAGATTCAATATCTGCCCTAGTGGCATTGGTGGGGGGAGAAGGAAACAGAGCTAGGCCAGATATAGTAGTTGGGGAGATCTTAATGATGGTGTCTAAAGTGAAGATACAAGGAAGTAATGTGGGGTTTTTATGGGTGCCAGCACATGTTTGGGTAGAGGACAATGAGGTGGCAGATAGGGCAGCAAAGGCAAGTTTGGGCAAAAATACAGTAGATGTACAAGTGCCACTTGGAAGGATGGAGTGTCGTAGCATCATCAGTGAAAAGCTGAATCAGATATGGCAGCAAGAGTGGAATGGAGACATCAGAGGAAGAAAACTATACAACATGCAAGCGTCAGTTAAACCTGTCAATAAAATAACCGTGCCTCGAATTGATGAAATCAAATTGACAAGGTTAAGGCTTGGTCATTGCGGACTAGCAAGTGGGTTGGTGCTTGTGGGAAAACACAGAGATGGCAACTGTGGAGTCCTGGAGTCTGTCCAACATATTTTGATGTTTTGTCCACTCTATGCCAAAGAAAGGAGGGAGCTATTTATAAAAATAGGCAAACTGGGTACTGAAACATTTTCTATAAAAACAGTGCTTGGTGATGTACAAGAAGAAGAGAGATAGGGAAGTCTTGCACTTCCTTCAAACTACAAACTTATATCGCAAGATATAAACTGAGGACATAAACTGCAGTGATGTTTCCTTACCTGTGGGAGGCAGCAATGCACTAAATAGTGCCTAGTCTGCCGGAAAGAAAAAGAAGAAGAAGACCTGAGAACCCCTACAACTCTTACAACGGAGAGAGATTGGTGTCGCGTGATATTGACGTCACGGTGAAAGCGACGGCTAACTGCCTCTTCCACGCTGTTCGGGGGCAGTCGCGGTACAGCTTAAGTATAGGTTCCAATCTTGGAATCTGTGTTTTCGGTTGTCTTTAATTGCGGAACGCGAACAACCACGCCCAATTAAAAAGTGCATTAGCACCTATCTGTGGCGACCCGTCACACGAGGAAAGCTTGGAGTTCGTCACGTAAAACCCGGCATTAGAAGGTGCTTCCACGTGTGTTAGGAGGGACCGCTGGTGATCGTGATTGTTTGGATGAAATTATGGAAGCCGAAAGCTCAGAGTATTTCGGAAAGAAACCCAAACCAACAAAGATGAAGGACATTGCCGACCCGGTGAAAAACTTCGAGAAGTGGAAGAAAAAATACAATAAGAGGAAAGCACGAGTGAACCGAGAGAAAGCGGAGAAGAAACCACAGTGGCAGGTCGAACGGGAGTACATTGACAGACTTGTAAACAGGTATGGAGCGATCAACACCAAAGACGTTGTCAGGTTTTCAGATTTTCCCATTTCAAAGAAAACCCTGCTAGGGCTACAGGAAGCTCAGTATAGACAACCAACAGAGATCCAGAGACAGACCATCGGCTTCGCTTTGCAAAGTAAAGATGTCCTCGCTGCGGCTAAGACTGGTTCCGGGAAGACTTTGGCATTCCTCATACCGGTGCTGGAGTGTCTGTATCGACAGCAGTGGAGCTCCGTCGACGGCCTCGGTGCGCTCATAATTTCCCCCACCAGAGAACTCGCCTACCAGACCTTCGAAGTTCTGCGTAAGGTGGGCAAGAACCACGAGTTTTCAGCGGGGCTCATCATCGGAGGGAAGGATCTAAAGAGTGAATCGGAGAGAATCCACCGCACCAACATCGTTATCTGCACGCCGGGCCGACTACTGCAGCACATGGACGAAACGGCCACATTTCACGCATCCGACCTCCACATGCTGGTCCTGGACGAGGCAGACCGCATCCTGGACATGGGTTTCGCGGATACATTAAACGCCATATTGGAGAACCTTCCTGGGTCCCGACAGACGCTGCTGTTCTCTGCCACACAGACAAAGTCTGTCAAAGACCTAGCCCGGCTCAGCCTGAAAGACCCACAGTATGTGTGGGTACACGAGAAAGCAAAGTTCAGCACGCCTGCCACCCTGGAGCAGAGCTATGTGGTGTGTGAGCTCCACCAGAAAGTTAACATGCTCTACTCTTTCATTAGGAGCCACTTGAAGAGGAAGATCATTGTTTTCTTTGCTTGCTGCAAAGAGGTACAATACCTGTTCAGAGTTTTCTGTCGGCTCAGACCCGGCATGCCCATCCTAGCTTTGCATGGCAAGCAGCAGCAGATGAAGAGGGTGGAGGTCTACAATGACTTCATCAAAAAGCAGAATGCTGTTCTCTTTGCCACTGATATAGCTGCCAGAGGCCTGGACTTTCCTGCAGTGAACTGGGTGCTGCAGTTCGACTGTCCAGAGGATGCAGACACCTACATCCATAGGGTGGGCAGGACTGCCAGATACAAGGAGGGTGGAGAGGCCCTGTTACTTCTGCTCCCCTCAGAGGAGAAGGGCATGGTCAGCCAATTGCAGGAGAAGAGGGTTCCCATCAATAAAATCCAGGTAAGACATCAGACATACACATCATGCTATGCTTACAGTGACCAAAAAGGAGGAAATGGTACAATATCATGTAATCCCTTAAAGTTCTAATCAACTTAATGACATATGTGCAGGCTGTTGTTTATGTTCATTTTCAGTATACAGTTTAAAACACACAAGTAAGAGACACTTAACGGTCAGTATATAGGTCTGTAACATTCAAACAGCTTTCTGTCCTCTAACAAAGTACACACATAGGGATAAATTAGACAGCACACGATACAATTTGTATTGTTTTATTATAACTATTTAAAAAAATAAATCTTTTAAATATGTAATTATCTAATCTAATTATTTTAAATTCGATTTATAAATTAATTTATCCAAAATAAATTTTAAAAACGTGTCAGTTCAATTTCAGTCAATTCAATTCAAACAAATATGATATAAACAAAGTATGCACTGCAAGATATTATTCCACAACCAAAAGTAGCGCAGTCTGCACTGCTAATCTGCCTTTTACAGTCCCATACAAAATCTCTCCAAATTAAATTAGTATTAGAGCTTGTACCATTAAAGTAAAATGAATATAGTGCAATGTAACTAAGCATGTCCTTGAATCATCAGCAAGACTGCTCAGCAGAAATCTTGGGTGTGCATGCATTTTGGCTCCTTTTGTGGAAAAAGTCATCCATGCTGCTTTGTCTCATTCTGAAAAACAGACACATTAACACATTGGAACAATTATAACAGTGAGATTTTTTTTAATTTTTATAATTTCTACATCACAGCTTTGTTATATGAATACTAATAGACAATTGCGCGAGATAATTGAATTCAGAACAATTGTTATAACACATAGATTAATAAAATGTGGGAGTGAAGTTTTTTAACTTTCCTGTATTGTACTGACACATGGCTGTGGAGTAAATGTTAGAGGAATTCTTCCCTTTCATTTGTTGACAGTGCTATCTGATAAACATTAACTACAATATAATTTTTGTGCAGCACCAGCATAGTTAAAAATCCTAAATTAAAATGTAATTAAAAATAGTTAGACAGAAGAGGGTTTTGGTGAAATATTATTACATTTCCAATATGCCATATGTCAGAACAAGAGTGTGATTGAAACAGTGAGTAGGTTTATTTACATTTTGAGTAAAAGCAAATGAGTCAATTGGTGAATTTAATGCTGAACTAAGACTGTCCTTTGCAACAGCTACGTGAATGTTGAAATTGCCTACTAAAATGACTTAATCTGTGAACACTGTGCTCTTATAGTGATCGTTTCCACTGGACAGCTTAAAAACTACTGATTTCCACCGGTGTATTTGCTAAAACACTATCCATTGGCCTTGGATCAACAAAGTATTGCATTGGTATTACTGATCAGAAACTGTTCAACTATCATGCCCCTTCAGATAAGTAATGTTATATCAGCAACCACTATTACCAAACTTTCTAAAAAAGTGTTGATGGCATCATAAACTAACTTAGCTGAAAATTTAACCAATCTGAAAACATATGGTTTCTTCTGGCATTTCTACTTAACCGGATAAAATCACTCATAATGTTATATTTTACATTGAGGATAGCAAAGGCCAGCCAAAGCCCTCCCAAAAAAGTTCAAACTTCTTTAACCTATATTCCCCTTGAGTACGATCCAAAACAAAGAAAATTTTAGTTTCTCGTAAGCAAATCAGCATGAAAAATGTCATTTATATCTCTGACAGAGTGGCCTGATGTTGTATGCAATATAACAAATATAAATGTTGGATTTTCTACAAAGGAAACCAGATAGTTGTTTATTTTAAGAGACATATTGTTTTTTTGCTTTTGTCTTTTTACTTTTACATAAGACCCTCAATAAATATATTGTTCCAAAGTGTTATTATAACTTAAAAAGAAAAGTTAACAACATCAGTATTAATTCATTTCATTGTGTGGTTGATACCAGGTGAACCCAGAGAAACTTCAGGCTGTCCAGCAGAAGCTTGTCGCCTTCCTGGCCCAGGAGAAAGAGCAGAAGGAGAGAGCCCAGAGGTGTTTTGTTTCCTACCTGCGCTCTGTCTACCTGATGAAGAACAAAGAGGTGTTTGACGTTTTGAAACTCAATATTCAAGAGTTTGCTGTTTCGCTGGGCCTTGCTGTGGCTCCAAGGGTGCGCTTCTTAAATAAAGTTCAGGCACTGACAGCTGAGAGAGAAGAACAGACAGAGGCAGAGCAGTCTGAAGACCATGAGCTGAGGAGTTTTAAGGCTCAGCTGAGAGGAAACATTCCTCATCAGGAATTCCAAAACAATCAGTCAGATGGCGATGGGGAAAGTAGTGATGAACAAAATGCAGATCAGCTGAATACACGACTTCAGGTTGACAATTATGACGACGATGACCTAAGAGACTTGGACCTACTTAAAGTTAAAACAAAGAATGTCTTCAGTCTTACAAAGGAGGAGGAAACTGAGGGGGGACTCTCCAAGGACTCCAAAAAAAATGTTGAAAAAGAAACAAAGTTCAAAGATGCCAAAAAGGTCCTCAAGAGAAACTTCCATGTCAACACAAAAGTAACTTTTAATGAGGAAGGAGATGCTGTGCAGTTGTGGCCACCTGTCCAGCGGGCAGTGGCTGGTGAGGAAGAGGAGGAGGTTTCAGGTATCAATGTTGAAAAGGCCAAGGAAAGGCTGAAACATGAAGACCAGGAGTTTGACAAGCAGGAGTACAGCCGCAAAGTGAAAGCTAAACACAGAGAAAAGAGGCTGAAGGCCAAGGAAGCTAGGAGGGAGGCCAGCAGGCAGCACGGACAGCACTCTGAAGAGGAGTCTGAGGACGAGGTGGTAGCATACCTGGCCAATCACAGCGAAGATGACTTTGACCCCAGCGCTCTTCCGGACCCTGACAATTTGTGCTCTTTGGAGGAGGAAAAGGAGGAGGGTCAAAGTGATCAAAGAAAATCAGCAAAAAGGCAACAAAGCAGTGATGAGGAGCTTCGAGCAGGGAAGAGGAAGAAAGTAGGACAGCTGAATAATGAACAGATACCTCTGGACACTGGTCTCTCTCTGGCAGAAGACGAGGAGTTAGTCTTGCATCTGCTAGGGGGATGGAGGTAGACAAAATCGGATACAGGGATTCAGGGTAGTGTTGATGAACATGTGCCTCATTAGGACATTGTATGTGTGATTTGATCAGATTTGAATCACAACAACCACACAACCCACCAGCTGTCATAGCATTATGATTCAAATGTTGGATCTTTTATGGCTCATACAGTAGATCTACACCTTTTTAAACAACTCACTGGAATAAACAATGATTACAAATTTGGTAGAAGCTTATTTGTTGTTAGGGAACCTGTTATGCAGTAAAAATAAGTTTTCAGAGTTTGTTTAAAGTCCCCTGAGCTATTACATATACACCTCTGTTACATCTATAATGCAGGATTTTTGTAATAAATTTGTAGTTCCTTAAGGTAAGCCGACATGCTGATGGCATTATCATCAAATTACATCACCAGGGTTGTTATATCAGTGGTGTTAAGCTCAGTGAAGATTATATTGAACTGTTAAACAAAGTTATTAGCAAGTGCTGGATGGTGGTAAAGCTGCTCCAAAAAACAAGTTATATTTTGTTACCTTGTTTCCATCTATTTTGACCAAATTATTAACGGTCACATCATGTGGATTTGCTTTCAGTAATCACAGTGTTGGGGATCACAGCTTTAGGCCATGTTGTGTTCTGACTTTGTGTGTCAAAATGCAGGTTTAGGTTACCAGTAGTGATCGATTTTATTTACACTGTGATTTGATTTAATAACTGAACTGAAATTATAATTATGTGCTAACTGTTTATCTCTCCCTTCTCTCTCTGTGACACATTATTTTATAACCAGCTCCATCTTCCAGGAAGGTATTGTAACAAATTATGTGAATTGAAAACTTGCCATCTGTCTATGTTGAGTAATTTTATGGCAGAGAATGCAATCTCCTTTTTGAAATAAACTTGGATATGGTCTGTTCAATTGAATTTGCTCATTGCCATGTTGATTTGAGTAGTTAAAATGAATTTGACCCTGGAGCTACATACAAATTTAGAATAGTTAGGTAGTTTAAATGGATATTCTATTCAATACAATTTTATTGGTATAGCGCCAAATCATAATATACATTATCTCAAGTCACTTGACATAGAAGGTCAAGACATTAAAATTGTAAATATATAGAGAAACCCAACAGTTCCCACAATGTGCAGCACTGAGGCAACTGTGGAGGAAAAACACCCTCATTACTGGGAGAAACCTCTAGAACAGTCATTCCCAACCTGTGGGCTGCGGCCCCCTGGTGGGCCGCAAAGGTATTGCAAGTGGGCCATCAAATCACTTTCAAAATAGTATGATTTTGGTGGGGGGTAATTATATAAAAATAAAATAATATATGAATACTGTTCCATATGTTAAAAAAAAATACTTTTAAAAGATATTAAAATGGTGTGTGTGTTTGTGTATGGAATTCAGTTAATGTATCTCTGCACTGCATTTAGTTCATACTGAGCTCTGCTGTCAGGTCTGAAGTTATTGTGCCCTTGTGTTATTGTCTCTGTCTGTTCACTTGAGAGAAAATATAAAATTGTGCTGTGGTTCCTGCATTTAACATTACACTTCAACAAGTGCTCCCTGCACTGTGGAGCTTCCTGCATGTTCCATGTGCTTTCAGATCAGTCCTGAATGTTCCATGTTTCTCATCAAAATAAAAAAAGTGGACTGAGAACGCATTATTTGGCCTCTGTATTGTTTATTGGGTCGGAGGTGGGCTGTAAACATTTTTGAGATTTTCAAGTGGGCCCTGAGTTGGAAAAAGTTGGGAACCACTACTCTAGTCTAGAAGAACCGGGCTCAATGTGGGCTGTCACCTGCCTCGACCGGTTGGGGTGAGTAAAGAAAAAGGGGAGGAGAGGAGAGATGGGTGGAAGAGAGAGAGAGATAGTGGGGAGGAGGAGGTGAGAGAGACTGGGAACACTTGAGCACCATCAGGTGTCAGAGAGAAGGGAAGAAATGCTCAGTAAATAATGGGAGTTCCCCCAGCAGTCTAGACCTATAGCAACATAACTTAGGGATGGTTCAGGACTCACCTATAGTTATCCAGAACTAACTATATCTTTATCAAAAAGGAACATTTTAAGTTTAACTTTAAATGCAGAGATGGTGTCTGCCTCCTGAACCCAGAGTGGGAGCTGGTTCCACAAGAGAGGAGCCTGGTAGCTGAATGCTCTACCTCCTGTTCTACTCTTACAGACTCTTGGAACCACAAGAGAGCCTGTGTTTTGTGAACAAAGTGATCTATTTGGATAATATGGTGTCATGAGCTCTTTGATATATGAAGGGGCTTGACTGTTAAGYGCTTTAWATGTGAGGAGCAGGATCTTGAATTCTATTTTACAGGGAGCCAATGTAGAGAAGCTAAGACAGGAATGATATGATCTCTCCTTCTAGTTCCTGTCAGCACTTGTGATGCAGCATTTTGGACCAACTGGAGGCTTTTTACAGATTTCCTGGGGCATCCTGATAATAAAGAATTACAGTAATCTAGTCCAGAGGTAACYAATGCGTGGACTATTTTTTCAGCATCCTTCTGAGACAGGATGTTTCAAATTTTCTTAATATTGCYCAGTTGGAAGAAAGCTGTCCTAGAGARTTGCTTTATATGTGGGTCAAATGACATGTCCTGGTCAAACATAACTCCAAGGTTCCTTACAGTGGAGCTGGAGGCCAAACTGAAACACTCCAAGGTGACTATCTGTTCYGACAGTGATACTCTGAGATGTTTAGGGCCAATTACAACGACCTCAGTTTTGTCTGAATCTAGAAGTAAGACGTTTTGGGTCATCCAGGCCTTGATGTTCTTGAGACATTCATGAAGTTGAACTAAGTGATTAGATTCATCATGCTTCATAGAAATGTACAGCTGGGTGTTGTCTGCATAACAATGGAAGTGTATGTGGTGCTTTCTCATGATGTTGCCTAAGGGGAGCATATATAATGTGAAGAGTATRGGTCCAAGGACAGAACCTTGTGTAGCTCCATGAATAACTTGCATGGGCATGGAGGAGTCATTGTTGACGTTWACAAATTGAAATCTATCTGATAAATATGATTTAAACCAGTCTAGTGCAGTTCCTCTGATCCTTATATGTTGTTCTAGTCTCTGTAACAGAATCTTATGATCTATGGTGTCAAATGCTGCACTAAGATCCAACAGGACGAGTACAGAGACAAGTCCATCATCTGATGCCAGAAAAAGGTCATTAGGGACTTCCAATAGCACTGTTTCTGTGCTGTGATGGATTCTAAATCCTGACTGGAATTTGTCCAGCAAACTGCTACTAACTCAGTAATCACACAGCTGGTTAGCAACAGCTTTTTCTAGGATTTTTGAAATGAAGGGCAGGTTTGATATGGGTCTATAATTAGCTAAAACCTCTGGATCAAGTGTAGGCTTTTTAAGCAGTTTAATAACAGCTACCTTAAATGCTTGTGGTACATAGCCGGTTTACAAAGACATGTTAAGCTGATTTAATATGGAACTGTCAATCAGTGGGAAAACTTCCTTAAAAAGTCCAGTTGGGACAGAGTCTAATTGACAAGTATTTGGTTTACATGATGAAACTACTAAGGTAAGTTCAGGAAGATCAATAGAAGAAAATTGGTTCAAACGTAAATCTGGTTCTATGGTTTCAGGACCAGACAATGTATCTATGTATGTGCTATTCGTTGGGAGGAGGTGGTGGATTTTATCCCTGATGGTTATAATTTTATTTGTAAAGAAACTCATGAAATCATTGCTTCTCAGGGTTAGAGGAATAGATGGGTCAGTAGAGGTGTGACTTTCTGTCAGCCTGGCTACAGGGCTGAAGAGGAATCTGGGGTTGTTCTTATTTTTCTTCTATTAATAATGAATAATAAGAGCTTCTGGCATTGCTAAGTGCTTCCATGTAATTCATCAGGCTATCATTCCAGGCTAGGTGAAAGTCATGTTGATTGGTGGAACGCCACTTCCTCTCTAGTTTCCGTGATGTCTTTTTTAAAACACGTGTTTGAGAATTATATCATGGAGCTAATCTCCACTGATTTACCTTCGTCTTTTTTAACGGGGCGACAGCTTCAAGTGCTGTTTTTAGTGAGGCTGCAGTACTATTTACAAAGTTATCAACTAGTGTGGGAGTAAGGTTTTGATAATCTTCTTGTATTGTACTGACACATGGCTGAGAGGTAAGTCTAGAAGGAAGCAGTTCTTTAAATGTATTCACAGTTTTATCAGATAAACACTGACTATAATAGAATTTCTGTCCAGAATCGGTGCAATTAGTAATTGTAAATTCAAATGTAATTAAAAAATGGTCAGACAGAAGAGGGTTATGTTGAAATATTATTAAATTTTCAATGTCTATGCCATATGGCAGAACAAGATCAAGAGTGTGATTCAGAGAGTGGGTGGGTTTATTCACATGTTGAATGAAACCAATCGTGTCTATTATTGATTTGAAAGCTGAACTAAGGCTTTCGTTGGCAATATCTACATGAATGTTGAAATCACCTACTATAATGATTTTATCTGTCCAAAGAACTAGCTCTGATAGAAATTCAGAGAATTCAGATAAAAATTCTGAGTAAGGGGCAGGGGGACGATGTATGATAACTAGATGAATTGGTTTATGTGATTTCAGGCTTGGATGGGTGAGGCTGATTATCAGATTTTCAAAGGAATTATAACTTACTTTCGGTCGTTGCTTCATTTAAACCTACATATTCTCCGTGTTGTAGCCAAGTTTCGGTTAAGCATAATAAATCTATTTGATGATCAGTAATGAGATAATTTATAAGTAAAGATTTTGAATTTAGTGACCTGATATTTAATAAACCGCATTATTATGTTTATGCAATATGCAATAATTATGTTTTTGTTACCAGTATATTGGCTGTGTAAACTTATATTAGGTTTGAATGTATTACCCCTCTCCTGTTTACTTTTGTTAGGTGGTCGGGGGGCAGACACAGTTTCTATAGGATATTGTGAGGGTGACTGTTCAAATAGAAGTGCAGAGAAGCATGTAAGACTGCGACTCTGCCTCCTTGTCTCAACTCTGGATTGTCACGGTGTGGACTGTCTAACAAATGTTGTCATGTTTCTAGATATGAGAGCTGCTCCATCCCAAGTGCGATGAATACAATCTCTCCTAATCAGACCAGGTTTCCCCAAAAAAGTTCGCCAATTATCTATGAAGCACACGTTGTTATTTGGACACCACCTCGACAGCCAGTGGTGAAAGGATGACGTGTGGCTGTACATGTCATCACTGAAAACATTTGGCAGGGGTCCAGAGAAAATTTTGGAGTCCGACATTGTCTTTGCATATGTACACACCGAATCAATATTGATTTTTGTGACCCCCGACTGACGTAGTGGGAGGTCATTACTGCCGACGTGAATAACAATCTTACTGTACTTACGCTTACTCTTAGCCAGCAGTTCTAAATAGGACTCTATGTCGCCCGCTCTGGCCCCAGGAAAACATTTAACTGTGGTCCGGGTGTCGCTAACTTCACGTTACTCAAAACAGAGTTGCCAATAATCAGAGTTTGTTCCTCAGCAGGTGTGTCGCTGAGTGGGGAACATTTATTTGAGACGTGAACAAGTTGGTGGTGAACCGGGAGCTTCAGTTTAGGGCTACGCTTCTTATATCAAACAGTCACCCAGCCGACCTGGCTTCCCAGCTGCTCTGGAGCTGCTGGGGGGGCTGGAGAAGCTATAACTTTTTGTTATCATAAGAAGTTAAGAGGTCTTTCATATGTAAGTAGTGGACATGGAGTTTTGTCTTTTTCCACTTCCATTCATCTTTTCTGTACAGCCTATAAAGTTCTCTTAGCCTGTCATCAACCTATGGAGAGGTGTTAACAGGTGATTAAATTCTTGATTTAATGGGGGCTATAGTATCTAGTGTGATTTGACAGCTGTTATTGAAGCCATTAAGTA